CCTTAACCCTAAGGCCACCCTCCTCCGATTGAGTGTTAAAACATATTTTAAAATGTAAGTTAACTGCTAGGGCAGGACAAGTGACAGGAATCACGATCTGTTGACTATGTCAGTCCACATCAGCATGGGTAGAATAGTTTTGCCACTGAAGGGTATTTGATCAGCTACTGATCACCAAACGCAAAGATCTGTGAACCAATCCTAGTGAAATCCATCAAACCATAGGTGAATACTGTTCATCCAGTCCTGCTGACCACTGCTCCATCAGGCGTTTGTTACCATCTTTTCCGCCCTGCCTTCACTCCGCTTTTTCTTTCCTATCATAGATCACACTGTGTCTTTTCCTGAGTTGTCTTCAATGTCTCTGTCCTCTTTTCCTTCCCCCTACTGTTTCTCTCTATTTTTCTTTCCCTACATTTTGTTCTTCTCCTTTTATATTTTCTCTCTCTCCCACTTCTCTCCTCCCGAGGTCACATACACTCTCATTCACACATGGTTTATTATTATGATTATTTGGACTGCAATAGCACCTAGTAGCTCCAGTCATGGCCCATAACCCCACAGTGCTGGGCACTGACCTTATTTATTAGGTGTATTATTGTAGCAACTAGGAACCCCAGTCCCAGACCAGGACCCCACCGTACTTGGGGCTGTCCATTATTTATTAGGTGTACTACAGTAGTGCTTAGGAACCCATCACGGACCAGGACCCAACTGTGCTGGGTGCTGTACAGCCACACAACGAAAGATGGTACTTCCAATCTACGTACGCTGTACTTCTCTTTTCTCACAGTTCCTAACTGTCAGGGTGGTTAAACACTGGAATAAATTGCCTAGGGAGGTTGTGGAATCTCCATCTCTGGAGATATTTAAGAGTAGGTTAGAGAAATGTCTATCAGGGATGGTCTAGACAGTATTTGGTCCTGCCATGCGGGCAGGGGACTGGACTCGATGACCTCTCGAGGTCCCTTCCAGTCCTAGAATCTATGAATCTATGAATCTATTCCATTAATCTCTCCTACTTTCTCACCCACCCAATCTCACAGTCCCCCATTCACCCACAAAGAAGGGTTGGAAATTTGACCAGATACCCGATAGCAGAGGAGTAAATCTACTAGTCACAGACCAATCTAAAAGTGGCAGTATCCAGGTGAGAAGCCAACCCTCCCTACTGAACTGCTATGAAAGGGAAAGGTTTTCTGGGATTCCTACCAGGGTACATTCCTTGGATCCTACTCAGGGGCTCCATGTTTGGTATCAACCTCTGGCTAGCAGGCGTCTGTCATCTCCTCACAACCCATCTGCTACTAGATGCTCCTGGCTGCTGCATGAGGGGTGGGAATAGTAGGCAGTCTCCTCTCTTCTACCCTTCCACAAACTCTGGACCTGATTTTTCTCTCACCCTGGTTTAAATCAGGAATGATTATCAGCTAAAATCAATGGAATTACACTGGTGTAAGTGAGAGGAGAACCAGGCCCTCTACCTTTTTTTGTTCTCCTCCCAAGGCATCAGTGCCTTCCCAAGCAGCAGCAGCAGACTGAAAATGACCAGATTCCCTTGAGTTTCATTTCTACCCATAGGATTTACAATACCAGGCACTGGTGCAGTCTCTGCAGACTAAGGAAAACAGCAGTCAGTCAGTTTACACTTAGTACAAAACTGCAAGGCTTTCTTCCCGACCCTAAGGACAGGGCATTGTTTCTTAAACGAAAACTTAGATTTCAAGAAGCTGAGGGCACTATTCCTATTCACACAGTGAAGGCACATTTTTAAAACCCTGAATTTAGTAATATATGCACTAAATGAATATTTTCAATAGCCACTTAATTCATACCAGAGTTGTTGCTTATAACAACAGGGTGCAGACATCCATACAAAGACCTTATTCTGCTGATTAAACATGTACTGGTCAGTGGCTCTGGACGTCTGTACTGCACGCACACAGTGCATAATTTGTCCACTACACACCTCTTATGCCTCTGTCTTTAATGTCAGCTCCAAATACACTCAAATCCTGTTACATAGAACATTCACAAAAAAGTGTTAATAGTAGCTTAAAAATCTAACATAATTCCACCATGCCACATACATTCTCACTTAGGCCCTCAACCACTGGTCCTGATCTCACCCACTGCATGGTGAAACTGGAGTTACCTCCACTTTTTTCAATGCAATGCAGATTCACACCAGCATAACTGAGTTCTGAATCTCTCCCTCTGTCCTTGTTTTACCCAGCTATGATGAGGTATCGTTGCTCTTTGGAAGCAGGCTTAGCTTTGTCTAGTCATCTGTTCTAGGGGAACATCTGAACTGCAAAATCTAGGCACAAAAGAGGGTAAGTTGAGAAAGACAGAGTTAGCCTCTAAATTTCTCACCTATTGTCAATTTCAGGCAGCTCCAAGACATTCTGTTAGCAGCCTTGCGCATTTCATTCCCCTGGGGTTTTCGGACTTTGCAATGCTGTGCACAGATTCCCCTTCTAGGGGAATGAGGAGTGGAGGGATCATACCGGTTGATAGTACATAATCTAATAATACAGAAGATGGGCTGAAATACCAAGCAGGCAATTGGCGCGTGGACACCAGGTTGCTGAATATTAGGCCAGTAAGAGTAAGCATTAGAAAACAGACTGTAGGGAACAATCCTACACTGATCACCAGTAATACAGTCTATATGGAACCGAACAACCTTTACTATCTCTAACTTCTATGGTTCCAGACACAACACAGCAAAAAACTGTCTTTTGATTGGTCCCCCAAATTCTCCCTGAGGTAAAGGAAGATTTATGCACCAGAAAATTATAGGTTAGAATAATTTGCATCTCTCACAAAGCCAGTGCCCCAAAAACAGTATGGAAAAAAGGATCTTAGCAGAGATCTATCTGCCCATCCATCCTACCGTTTCCTACAGCATCCATCAGCATAGTATCTAAGCACTGCAGTGCACATGCTCAGTTAGCCAGCTATCAGGGGGTGAATATCTACTGTAAACTGTTTCTAATTTAAAATGAGTATTTGCAAGGCTCAGGTATACGTCAGGAATCAAGGGGCAGATTCTGATCTGTTAGATGCGCAGGCATAATGCCACTGGCTTGAAAGGAACTGCTCCGGATTTACACCGGTGTAACAATTAGAACCTGGCCCCAAAACTGGGTGCCATATTTCAGGGTTTTTTTTAAACCATGCTGAGGGGAAACACATGGTAGAAACTGCTCCTAGAAAGAGACTTTCTACCAAAAAACCTTCAGACGGCCCCATTTAGATAATTTTTCATGGCACAATTTTAACATAAATGTATCAGATACCAACAACATGCGCATCAGATAAAAGGGAATACATCAGTCTGGGTTTAACATCCAAATAACTCACAATGCTATATAGAAGTACCTTCTCCCATCCAAGCACCAAAGCATCTTGCTCACTGCCAAAACTACACCAAGCTTTCAACAGATGCAAGACCTTTATCAACCATATTCTGAATAGAAAATGTTTCTTTTAAAACTATACATTCTGAGATACACAGGGTGGCTTTCCTCAGCCATACTTTGATAGGGGGCGGGGGTTTATGTGGTTTGCTGGCTTTCCCTCTAGACAACGGCAAATAAGTAACAAATCACAATAGAGAATAAGGTATTTACATACCAAAGTTGAAGCATCAGATGCAGAGACAGCAATTTCTCAGTTTCTCCACCCAGCTTGGGAAACCACTTTCAATGGAAAGACTCCGCAGAGATGCCCAGAAGTGGCTCCTAATTCTATTCTCTCACCCCCCAACCCCGCCTCACTTGTGAAATTAATTGTAAATCCAGGGGCAAATGAAAGGTGGCTGGGGCAATTCCTGTGCTATTCTGCCAATGCAATGTGTGGTCCCAGGGCCTGATTCTGCACCCAAATACATGGGCATATCTTCTGCCGGCTTCCATGGGAGCTCCGCCCATGGAGCAGAGGGAAGTGGCCCCGATGTCCCTTGTCCCGTAATTCTGCACATACGGGTGCACAAATAAAACACAGTATATCTCTCTCTGGGCAGCCAGGCATAATAAATATGGGGCAATATTCTCTGAGGGCCGAATTCTGCTCTCAGTTCCGCCTGTGTAAAGCCTGAGTAACCTCACTGATTTTGATGGTGTGACTCCGGACTGACACTGGTGTAAGTGAGAGCAGAGTTCGGCCCTGTGTATTGATAAGTCTAATTTCTATGTCATGCAAATATGCACCATCCACCCATTGCTGTGTCTGCGGAAAGGCTTTGGACAGTGGCAGTGAGCACCCAAGCTTCCTACCCTCCTATTACCCAAGAGCCTGTCTCAGATCCCCACTGCTAATGAGACCTCCACATGCACCCTTCTCCATGCCCCTCCCTTTGGGCCATACTTCGGCAGTGAGGACTCTGTGCTGTGTGCTCCTCTTCTTCTAGCAGGGAAGCAGCGTTAGAGACCACAGATTACTGATCTCCTTTCTCTGGACCAACAAGGGGTTCGCTGGGGAACCCCCGTTTCTGTTTCTCCTGAAATAGCTCGCAGACACCCACAAAGATGGCAAAGACCCC